TGTGTTTGATCGGGGGAGCAAGTGGAGTATGATTTTTTTCTTTTTCCTCTTTTCTTTTTCCTTGTCCAACCAACCATGGACGTCAAGGGCACGAGTAACTATCTATACCGTACCCTCTTCATTCACAATACTTGTACTTGTATCATACTCGTACGAGTACTAGCACCACAACTAGTACATGTAACCTGCATAGGGATAAGGATGGGCAGATCGCATCCCGTTACAAGCGAAGCAAGGGCCGCAAGCAGCGAAGGGCTTACGGTACAAGTTATGCATGTGTGAATGATATGTATGCACGAATACTAGCACCGGGGAGAGACAAGAGAAAGAGACGGAGACAAAAGCAAGCACGAAAACAAAAACAAAAACTCCCCGGTTGACCGGTACGAGTGCTCGTACTGTTACGGTACCGGTAAGGTACGGCAGATGCAGTACTGTACTGTAGAGGGCGTGGTGAAGTGGTGATAATAAAGAAATACCGTAGGAAACTCTCTATCATACTAGTTATCACTACTGTAACGTATAGTACGGCACGCTAACTCATCCCTACGTAGACTAAGTACGGTTCATCATTGCCCCCTGGCATCTCGCCTTTACAAGTAGAGGCTGGCCGGTTTATTATTGTTTTGCTTTTTTACAATTTAAAAAAAAACACCTCTTATTCACTCCTTCTCGTTGCATTGGAAAATGTGTCGATGTTGTAACTTACGACGATATAACTCTGTGGGAGGGGATGAGGAAGAGGAGGAGAGGGGGGGGGGGAATTGTCACTTACAGTACCGTAATCTGTTTTGATTTCCTAGTACCGTGGTCTACCCCTTCCCCTTCCCCTTCCTCCCCCTTCTCCTTCTCTTCTTCCCCCCCTCCTCACACACACATTTTTTCTTTTTCTTTCTTTCTCGCTTTGTTGACTGCATAAGGATACATATGGGTACAGTGCTAGCACAGCACTAGTACAGTAGGACTGGATTTATTATCATCGAGGGGAACCCGGATGCCGTCTGGGGGGGGTTTTTTTTTTTGATAAACTTCGTGCCGTACTGTGCCGTATCGTGACCCAGTTCATATCTGCCGTTCTTTCGTCACAGTACGAGTACCGTATCATACCGTTCACTTCTTCGATCTTGGTTCTACCGTGTCCTTCCCCCCCCCCTCTTCCTCCTCCATTGCTTACCTCCCTTTTTCCTCTTCTTTCTCAAGCGCTCACTCGACGTGAGAGGTTCTGTTCTATACTTGTTTTAAAATACCCGCTCAATTGAGCCGGCGGCTGCATAGAACACCTCTCCTATCAAGAGATACGGTACGGACGGACGGGCAACGTTCTTTCCTTTCACTCCTTTTATCGGTTTCGCTCTTCTATCGTACGGCTCGCCGCGAATCCCCCCCATCCCTGCTCTGCATATCATAGGCATATCATAGTATCCACTTTCTCTCCACTTGGACCTCTGCTCCTCTCCCTCGTGCCCTTCCTCTCTGTTGATCTTATATGCAACGGTCTCGGGTGAATTCAGGTTTCCAAGTTTTCGGGACACGAGGCCAGGGGGCTCAGCCAGGGCTTTTCGGATTGATTTGCTGACGACTGAGCGGAAAAGTAAGTGCGCGGCCTGGAGAGTTTTTTTGGGTTTTTTTTTCTTTTCTTTACTTCCCTTTGTGGATTCTATTTTTTGCTCCCCTTTTTGTGCTAACTCAGGACAAACCCAAGCAGACCAGAGGCAGGCTGGACAGACAGAAGGATAGACAACGTTCACCAATTGGAGGGTCTCTCCTGCACCGAGGATCATAATTTTTTTTCTCCTAAAACCCGCTCTTGATTCTATTTATCATTTCCCGCAGTGTTTCTTTCCTACCCCAATCACGGACGTCTCGTGTTTTGGTTGCCCGTGAGCCATTTGCAGGCTGTAATTGGGTTTCATCAAAGCGTCACGGGGGATACTGGTGAGGCTGGGGGTGGGCGGTGGGGAGAAAAGAAAAAAATAAGAATAAAAAACCCAGGATCCAGAGAATCGTTGGAACAAGGCGCAATTTACGGTGGGCACGAGGGAGAGATCTAGGGGATCCCGAAGAAAGAAAAATAAGAAAATAAAATAGAAAATTAGTCTATACGGGGGACCCCCCACGTATCGGCACTCAACTTGTTCGAGTTTTTATTTTGGAGTTAGGCCCTTTTGGAAGAGGATCCCAGGGTATCGGGAAGCATCCGTGCGGGTTTCAGGCCTCTTTTTCTTGTTCGGAGCGGCGCTCGTAGTGGGCAAGACCCAGAGCCAAGGGGTGGAAGGGGAGAGAAAGTGGCTGGCGCCGTGTGGTACCCACTCTTATAATTCCGGGCCTGCTCCCACTACCCATTCTCACTCCTTCATCGTGGATAACTTCAATTCCCTCTCGTTTGGCGTTAAGAAGCCCTCACGACGGAAAGATTCAACAGCATCGGGTGCGAGGTTGTTGGGTCCGACGGACAATTCGACATCGCCGTCGTCATCGCCATTGTTATCATCGTCGGGGAAGCTTCTCGCTTTCTTCCATTCTTCCTCCTCCTCTAACCAAGCTCCCAGCATGGCAATCCATTCAACGGGCCCACGTTCGGCCTTCTCTGATTCTTCAACTTCATCACTTGTAGCTAGGCCAACTGATAAGTCCTTTCTCAAAAGGTTGTTCAATAGAGGTAAGCCCAGGGCGGCAACTCTCCCGACTTCACACTCAACCTTCGAACTATCTGAGCGATACGCACGACGTGAAAATAATTTCTTCGTTCTGCCCCCTTCCCCACATACCCACCCTCTTCTCTCAAAGCCATATGCGCGGGATGAGCTACGACCTCGAAGCTCGACAAATTATTCACACCTCGATGGGAGCATAGTGACCGGCGGAGATGGCTTCATCCATGCTCGCAGGGTTGCAGCTATGAGGCCTGCGGGCCGATCAGTAGATAGCGGAGTGAGCCCCGAGAGGGAGAGGGAGAGGGAGATGTATGCGAGGGGTATCCGGGAGCGAGAAAAGGCTGCAAGGGAAGCTGCAGTGGAAGGCAGATACGTTCAGGAATGGGGCTTTTTTATCAAGTGTTATGCGGAGGGACGGTTCAATGTATCGAATCCTCCGGATCCGCCGCCACGGAGGCCTGACTTCAATCACCTCACTGCTCCACTACCGCCGAATGAGAAGCAGAGGCTCGAGGTATGAACCCTTGGTCAGCTACAGCTGATGCTTTGATGACTAACACCTAATAGGCTGTCAATTCCTGCAACGTCTCGCTGCCCCCGGATGCAAGCGACAAGTACCACCGCCTCGTCCTCCTTGCTAGGAGAGTTTTGAATGTACGGATGGCTTCGATAAGCTTGGTCGATGAAACCGTTGAGATCTTCAAAGCCGAGCACGCGTTCAACAGGAAATACGTTGATCGAAGTGAGAGCATTGGCGCTCACGTGTTGTTGTCGAATGAGCCGATGGTTGTACTGGATCTTACAAAGGTGTGTGTAACGATCAAAGTCATGTGCGGGCCGACGCTAATAACATTATCCAGGATTGGCGATTAAAAGGGAACCCACTAGTTAAGGGCGCGCCATATATTCGATTTTACGCTGGCGCCCCAATTATCACTTTTGACGGGCAAATCATTGGAACTTTTTCCGTATTCGACGATACGCCGCGGGATTCCTTCGGCGTTGCTGAGAGGCGAAAGTTGATGGATTTCGCTAGACTTGCCATGACTGAGATCGAGAATGTTGTGGAAGAGCGTGATATGCGTAGTCGGCGGACTCCTACACCTGTCATTGATCTGCGAGTATTACATGAGCAAGACCAGCAGTCACTTCTGGGTGATCGGCTTAAGGCTTCGGGGGGTGGGGCTCCTGTATCCCCAAGGTCTTCTCCTAAGCCTGCCCAGGGCCCGACGAACTCAAGAACAGCTCGAAAGCGTGATGCCCCGACACCGGTAAACCGACCAGTGGCCATTCGCCCTGGTGGAAGGCTCCCGACTATCAACATCCCGGTTGGGCCTGAGGATTGTAGAAATAGCAGGACTTGTGCCAAGATCTCTGATATGCCTACTCCCCCGCACACTCCTAGCAGACCCTTCTCCTTCACTACCAACAGCTCCCGTCCTTTGGGTTCGGTGGATGGGGCTTCTTCTCGAGAGTCCTCAGAAGAGGGGTCTACTGACCGCCGAGCACGCTATAAGCAGCGAAAACCTTCTCCAACCCAGGCGCCTGGACCACGGGAGGTCCCACTTCAGGTGCCGTTTTCTTCCGGGCCGATCACATCTTTGGCCGAGGCTTCTTTTGCTACTTCCATCATTGCCCGATCATTAGACTACGATTTTGTCTATCTTCTTCGGGTGTCTCCTGTCGCTCCACAAGAGCCCAGGATACTTCCGTTGGAGCAAGAATACACTGGTGATAATTTTCACACCAAGGTTCTTGTCGCACATGGACTCCCTAACCCTCTTCCTGTGTTTGATGCGAATCTGCATTTGCGGGCACTTCGAAGTGCGGGGGGACTTGTTTACCAAAACCCTGCCAGGTCGCAAGATGAGGATGACGTTGGATTCCGTTCGGGAATACTGCTACCTCTATTGAGAGATGGGGTTGACAACGGCCCGGATGAGGGCTACTCTTCAGCCACCACTCCGATCGGAAGGGAGTTCCAGCAGAGCGAGACAGCCTGCACGGGTGGGATAGTATTAGCGGCATTCACCCGCAAAGATGAGAGGGACTCCCGCCCGCCTTTCACAGCGGACGAGGTCCGATGTCTTCGGGAATTCGGTGAAGCAATGAAGGATATCCTTCTCCGAGTTGATCGAAGGTTTTAAACCTATTCTGCCTAAGCGAATTTTATCCAATTCAGAGATATGTACACAGCACCCTTATCATTTCCTTTGTCGCCGGTTTTTTCTGCTGGAATTCCTGGAGTTTGGGAGAGAATTGTGTTTTTCTTTTTTGGCTTTGAATTTTGATTTTGGTTCTTTTGTATAATTTTTTTTGGCCCTCTGGCTGGATTGCTATTCATTTACATATTATTTATTTCCTTTTGGGGTCCTTTTTTTGGTGGGGCGGAAAAAGAAAGGGATTGGGTCTTATACATGCTTTTGGTTTCTTTTGTTGATGTCTTGCATCTATCTATCGATATATCTGTCTGTCTGTCTACCCGGTCTGGGACAATGGGGGAAATAATTTCTTTTGTTTGGTGAACTGGGTCCACTCTATCCTGACTTATTTTTTTGGCAAAGAAAACGAAATGGGTAGGGCCTAGTAGCTATCTTGGAGTTTTCTTTTTTTTTTCTTTTTAAGCTTGTATGTATTGTTTTCAAGTCCTATGGGACCGGGGACGGATGGGTCGGTGGTACAGTGAGACAAGGCACCCGTCGAGAAGACGGGTAATACATCGCCATATCGCTATTACATTATTATAAAGTGAGGAGCTTTTTTTTAGAAGTGAAAAAAGAATGGGCTGCGTGCATTGGCTTGTGAAGCAAGAAGTGAAGGAAAAGAGAATATCAAGGGGAGGTAAGGTGGACGAGTACCGTAGACAATTCAAAAAGAAGAGTTTTTTTGGTAAGGAAAAAAAAAAGCAAAACGCCCGTTAGAGGGGGGGGGGAAAGAAGAAATTACAGTCATCAGAACCTGGAGGAAATTCCCCTACTGTCTATCCAACCCTCCCCTCTTCTAGACCTCCGCGACATTACTCCCACAAGCCCGCAACCAAAAACCACTCAAACAAACTGCCTCAACTTTGTAATCTCATCCAACAACTCCTGCAAATCGTCATCACTCTTCTTCCCCTCGATACTGGGTATGAGCACCTTGGCCTCATCAGAACTATCACAGCAAAGCGTCCCCAACTGACTCTTCTCGAAGGCGACGAGATCGGTCTGCAACGCCAGGATGCGCTCGACGGCCTGCACGCTCTCCCGCTGCTTGAAGCGGGAAAAGACCTCCAGGTATTGCTGCGTCTTGGTGACCACCCTAAATTCACCCATTTTTTTTTACCAGCGTTAGCTGGCTGCTGCTGCTGGTGGTGGTGGTGGTGGGTGGTTGATGGATACATACTCGTTATCGGGAACTTTAAATTTCCCCTGCTCGCGCCTGTGGTTGAAGACGGCTGTCAGGACCTCCTTCGTCTCGCTGAGCGTTAGGCTGGAGACGTTTTGGAATTCGCCGAGTTTCAGTTCGCTGCCGGCTTCCTCGTCGCCGTGGATTTGTTCTTTGGCGCGGGTGAGGGGGGTGTGGGTTGTCATTTTTTTTTATAATTTTTTTTGGGGGTTTGTTGTGGTTTGTGGTCGGTGGTGAGATGAGGTGTGTAGGAATGGGAGGAATGGATGGATGGATGGGTGGATGGGTGAAGGGTCGTTCGTTGTTAAGCTCTTGACATACCAGAGGAAATAACCGCGCTTGTATCTATCGTATTGTAAGTCAGGTGATGATAATAACAATAGAATGATACGGTATTGGGAGGGTAAGGTAAGTTACAGTAAGAGGTACGGATAAGTCACTTGGCAATGATAAGATATAGGTGTTCTAGAAAAAAATGTATTCGGACGATTGGCATAAAGACTTGTATACCTTCTTGTCCGAACACATTTTACAAAATGCAAAAGAGAAAAAAGCGCCAAGTATCATAAGTGACCAGCTTATCATAACAATACCATTATCATGATAACACACCAAAGACTTAGATTATCACACACTACCGTACTCGAGTAGACTACGAGTATCATACATACCATTTTCCTCTCCTCAAACCCTTCCACCAACGACAACCCATCAATCAATCCAATCAATCCAACCAACCAACCCAAGAAACCGAACACGACCACCTACCCAAAAAACCAAAACAAACTCACTTAATTAAGGGGGAAAGAAAAATAAAAATGGTCATCCTCTCCCTCTTAATCCTAAACAAAGCCGGAGGCCTAATCTTCCAACGCGACTTCAACGAGGGCCTCAAGAAGCTGTCGTCGAACGATTACCTCGTCCTGGCCGGCACCTTCCACGGCGTGCACGCGATAACGTCGCGCATCTCGCCCCTTCGCGACCTTGGCGGTGGGGGTGGCGGGGGTTTGGAGGTTCTGGAGAGCGATAAGTTTAGGATGCAGTGTTTTCAGACTCTTACTGGTATGTTGGTTGTTACTTCCTTCCTTCCAAACTGAGGAGAAGTTGGGGGGGGGGGGGGGGGCTAATTTGGATGGATCGATGGATGGGACCTCTTGCGGTGGTGGAGGGTGTGGGGATTGTGTGTGTTTTTTTTGATTCATTTTAGGGACAAAGTTCTTGATTTTCGCCGAACCGAATCAGCCGAACGTTGATGTTGTGGTTAGGAGGGTTTACGAGTTGTATGCCGACTACGTTATGAAGAATCCCTTTTACCAGATTGAGATGCCGATTCGGTGTGAGGCTTTTGAGAGGAATTTGGTGGCTTATATCAAGCCGAAGCAGTAGGCTTTGCTACCTGATACTCTATGGCCCCGAGAGAGAGAGGGGGGGGAGGGCGACTAGGTGGATGGATGAAAATAGAATGACAGCGGGAACGTCGAGGGAAAGGGTGCCTTCGATAATACGGCCTCTGAAGGAGGGGAGTGGGGGATTTTTTGTTCACTATCACACTTTCTTCCTTCACCGGCGTTTTAGATTTCACTTCACGAATACCATGATAATGAGCACTCTGCTTTGGGTGTTTCTTTTTTTTTTTTTCTCTCGAGGAACTTATTATATATGTGTTGTACAATCGTTCGGATTATTACTACCCTCCGCGTTGGTTCGCCCGTCATCGATTCCTTTCTGGCCTCCGTAATGAAAAAAGACTTTTGACCTCCGTTTGCTTTTTCTTTTTGGTGTCCATTTTGCCGAATTTTTTTTGGACTTTCCTTTGGTATTCCCATTTCTTCGTTCGATTTGACTCTTGTCCGTGTCGACGAATAAAGTAGGGATGAGAGAAAGAAAAAAGGAGTGTTAAGAATAAAGATAAGAAAGGGAAGAAAGAAGAGAAATATAAGAGGACTCTCGGAGAAAGGGAATAGTAATAGAACTGAATACTTCCATGCGAAAAGGATCTGGAAAATATCAACCCCTTCCCACACCCCGTATGCAATGCTGTGACTATACGCCTGAAGGTGAAAACTTGATGGAAACCGTATTGCAGAAAACGATATTTAGACAGCCTTACCCGAAGAAAAGGAAATTGGCTGAACGAGGAAGAAGAAAACAAAGACCAACACCCTGCCTCTAGAACCGTAGACAGGTAAAAGGTAAAAGATACTATCGAAGGGGAAAAAACGCCGATCATTCACAACGCCATTCCATACCGTCTGACCTGGAACAAAGGGAAGTAAAACAAAACCAAACTCGATCCTAGAAATGACCCTTCATGAGCGGTAAGAAAAAAATTGGCGAGATAAGGGAAAATGGGAGCAAGGGTCAAAGTTCCATCTTTGTAGGATCTCCAAGAGCCCCTCCGAGCTCACTATTCCCTTCAGGGCTCTCCCCTCTGTCGCTTTTGCTCCTCTTCATCTCAGGAGCTGCCACCCTTCTGACCCGACTAATAATTTCTGATATACTCTTGCTCTTACTCGGTCTCTTTCCGCCAGCTACGGAAAGCTCATCATCCGCATCCGCATCCTCGGGCCTGAGGTGTTGGTTCTGCTGTTTCTCTTGCTTCTCCTTCCTTTTCTCCCACGATGTTCTCTTAGTCTTGGTCTTGGACTCCGGAGAGGAAGGAGAACTATTCATCATCGATAGGCCAAATGGTTCCTTAGTCTTTGTAGGAGAAGGTGGGTTAATCCGTGAGAAATTTTTGGGCGGCGATTCCTTGGTCAACTCCTCGGGGGGGCTATGGGTTCTGCGAGGAGGGGAAGACCTCTTGGGTAGCATACTTTTTAGTCTTTCCATAGGGGGCGGAGGTGTTTTGGACTGCATGGACACAGAGGCAATCGATAACGGAGACCTGGAGCGATCAGCAACGGGAGTAGAGAATATTGGCGTAGAAGCAATTGATGGAGGGAGCGGAGTCATTTCTGGCGGCGATGGAAGCGCTGGAGGGATATTATCCAACATCCCAGTGCTCGTGTGCGTCGACAATGGAGAGGGTATTCGTTCAATGGAGCTTGAGTGTAGCCTAGGCGGTGCAGTTTCGTGGTGCGCGGAGCCCGCTGCCTGTGGAGCATTTGAGGATGTGGTAGAGGGCGATGTACTGGACCTTGGGGTAGAGTTCTTCCCGATATACAACTTCTCCCACTCATTCGTAGTGGAACGTGAGATCATAATGGGTTCGGTACCGCTTGCCATAGACGTAGTTTCATCTTCATCCATGGAAGAGAATTGCTCAGAAAGGCGGGGCCCCGCTCTCTGACTGGACATAAATTTCTCAACGCTCGGGGACACCCGCCCGGATTCCCCCCCGGATCCGGATGGCTTTTTGATGCTGAGGGATTCTTTCCTATCAGCGAGCGTTGGTCGCTCTGTATTAGGTGGCTTCCAATTGCAGTTCCTCTCCAATACGTCCGTTAGCTTTACTGGTGTTGCAGGTTTCTCTATTAGCTCGGTGAAGTGGTGAGGGTCACTGAGGTCTCTAAGGTATCCTGTTACTGCAACAATTGGCGTGTTCGAATTCGGATTCTTGCTTGAGCGAATCATCCTTGCCACGTCTTCGCCATTGGTCTGAGGAAGTTTGAATTCCATAAGAATAATATCAACTATGGATTTGTCAGAAAAAGTCTCTTAGAAAGCTGGGAAATGCAACATTTTACTTCGCCCATGGCATAGCGCATAGCTTCTGCACCGTTGTCAACACAGATGGTTCTACATTTCAATTTTTCCAATAGCCTCTCCATGACCAATTTGGACACTGGATGATCCTCACACACTATTGGAATTAGCGAGATTTGAGATGAGCCAGAGTGTGAATACATACCCAAGACATCCAATGGCCGGAACACTGGACCACCTTCAGTCAAACTGATGTTAGACATCCTCCTAGAACTTTGCCGTCGCCGCTGCACCCGCAAAAGAGCACTACTTTTAACATCTTCGTTATCGGAAGACGAGGGTGACAGGTCGAAAACTTGGCTCCTGCGTTTCTGGTGCCTAAAGCCCTCCAAATACCCTGGCTCGCTGTCTGTAGATCCGATAGTGAGTGACCTTACACGAGGGTTAGCACTTCGTCGGTGAAGAGGGTTTTTCGATGGAGAAGGTTGCGATCCGGTGTTCCCTAGTGGCAACTTTTCATGGGAGGATTTCGTAGGAGACGTAGATGTAGATATCGGGGCTGGCACTTTTGGTTGAGTCTTTACAGGGGAGGATGCAGTAGAGGAGTTCTGGGTCGACTTCGCCGCGGTGGACAAACGCGGAATATCAACAAAAGGACCCGGTTGTAGGGCCATTGCGGGTTGTTGGCCCATGGAAGGTTGGCTACCAGAATTTTGAGAAACACTAGACGATGCACTAGCATTAGAAGCCTTTCTTCTCTCACTAAGACCCGTCGCTGTGAATGACATCAAGAGTGGCGACGAGGGTTGAGAATTCCGAGCAGGGGAAGAATTGGAGTGGTTCAAGTTTGATGGAGAAACCGGGCGTTTTCCACTGCTCTTGGAAGGATTGGATAGAGTCCTGGACAGCGATTTGGAGGAGAAGATAGGACTACCCTCTGCCGAAGGCGATGAGGGGTTTGATGTGGCAAGAGCCGGTGTGGACTTGAGCGCCTCTGTTCGAAGTTTTTGAATGACATCCTTATTAGCTTTCTCTAGCACGGGCAGATTTTTGAACGCAAAGTTGCCAAAATCATCTTGAGCATTGGGTTCACTGAGTCGCCTATTCCTTCCTTCACGGACATGGGGAGGAATGGAAAGAGGTATGAGCCCCCGCTTGTTAGAATTGACCTCTCTTCTCGTGCGAGACACCGCATCATGTGGGCGTTCCGGTAAATCTGCGCCGGGTGTTAAAACGTGAGGCGAGGTGGACTGGTCTTCAAATTCCTCCACAAACGACTGCAAGGTTGCGCCTCTAGAATCAAAGTATTCCGTATCTTCGGGATCTTGGGGCGTCGGCACGAATGATGGCTGCTCTTCAAGTAAAGTCTCCCAATTGAGATTTGCGAACCATGGATGCTTTTTAACCTCCTCCGCGCCATTCGCGCCCAGCCTCTGGTTAGGGTCAGTACACATGAGCCGATTCATCAGGTGCTTTGCCTCGTTTGAGACTTCGTCGTCCTCTGGGTCTGGCCAGTCAATCCTCCGGCCCAATATGTTCTCGAACACCTTGTCATGAGTATCCGCATGAAAAGGTGGATATCCGTACAAAAATTCAAACAAAATGCAACCAAGAGACCACCAATCACTCATCTCATCCTGTCCACTACCCTTGATAGTTTCCGGGGCCAAATAATCAGGAGTACCAACAAACTTTCGGTTATTATCCTCGGGATCAAAGAGGGCTAGCTGGGGTGGCATCATTGGTTGGGGAGGATGTTGGATCTGGCTCTGGGCCTGGCTGGGATATGAAGTCATATGTTGGAGGCATAGGCCATTGCTGAAGTCGCTAGAGGTACTGCTCTCACTCTGAACATCTTCGTCTCCTGTAGGGGTTCTCCGATTGTTGAAGAGGGTGCTGTGCATATGGGGATCATTGAGGCTGAAGCTGCCCAGCATGGAGATCAGATGATCGCTCCCACTGGTGTCACTTCTCGGGTTGGATGATCTTCTCAGAGAGTTTTCCCGGCTAAGAGTATTCTCGCGACTGAGATTGAAATATGATGGAGTAACCAATTGGGCATTGGCATCCGGTGTTATAAGAGGGGTAGAAGAGGGCGAGCCATTGGGAGGGAAGTCAAAAGAGGTGGACCTCGAGGATGCCACTGACCTCGACCTGGCGAAAGGCCCTTGTTTCAAGAGATCCGGGGTGCTCTCAGAGGACTGAGTCTGGGCCCGCTTTTGTCTTCCCAATAGCCCCATCCGGGATAACCCGAAATCGGTGAGCTTGAGGTGTCCTTTTTGATCAATCAAAAGATTGTCAGGCTTCAAGTCGCGGTGAACTATTCCTCGACTGTGAAGATGCTCCACGCCGAGAACTACTTCGGCAAGATATCTTTGAGCCCAATCTTCGGGAAGGCCAGATAACGCCTTGACAAGCGCAGCGCAATCACCTCCATTCAAATATTCCATCACCAGATAAAGATAATCTTTGCTCGCAAATGTCCAGAATAACTTGGCGACAAAGTCGCTTTCCCCCTGTACCATCATAATAGCTCTTTCTGCCCTGACATTTGTGACCTGATTCTTCGCAATCATGTCTGCCTTTTTCAACACTTTGATTGCAAAATAATCACCCGTGGACTTCTTCTTAGACAGGTAGACACTACCGAAAGCACCCTTGCTGATAGGTTTGATGATCTCGAAATCCTTGATAGAAGGAGGCACGGCGCGATTTTGCTGTGTGGGGTTCACACCGGAGAGCCGCGGGGAAACGGGTGGCTTGCCAAACTGATCTGATGAGGTCACCGAGGACTGCCGCTTATGATGATGATGATGGAAGGCGTCAAGAGCAGGAGAAAAATCGCCAGTAGAAAGCAGGGGGGAGGTTATTGGTGTGGGCATACAGTCATACAAGATAGATCGAGGCTTTTGGATCCTAAGTGGAGATGATGAAGGTGCAATCCTAGCAGGCGACGCCTGACGCCGTGGGGAGTTACCACCTGTCATAGAGGGATAATTTTGCCTTCTCTTGTCTCTGGCAGCGTAAACCCTGCTCGCTGTCAGTTCGTGGTCAGAGACAGGGCTCTCTGTCTGCGGATGCCCCATGGCAGCGGCGAGCGATGATCTGCCACTTGTGTCACTGTCTGCTCCCTCGTTCTCATAATGCACGCTAGTGCGATGGCCTGCTTTCTGCCGCCTACTATTCACCCTCTTCAGGCTTTGCTGGGACTTGGGCGTGGAACATTCCATTGGGCTCGTAGAACCCGACTCCGCAGGTGAAGAATGCCTTCTCAGACGCCCCCGTGGGGGGCCAAGGGAGCTATTACTTCTTTGTAAGGCTGGTCCGAACGAGGCTGCAAAAAAGGGGGTATCATCTTCAATGTCTGAACCGTCGCTATACTCCTCATCCGGAACATCACTTGTCAGTTCAGAAGCCTTTCGTAATGCCTCGTCGATACAATCTTGAACAAGCATACTAAATTCCAGCCGTATACGTTCAGAGTATTCGATCGTGTTCCGGTGACGGAATACCGCTTCTACCTTTGCCTTAGCAACGGCCTCCGAATCCTGGCATAGTAAAGCTAATCCCTTCTCCTCATCTAAAGTATTCGTGGTGGGCGATGACCACTGAAGGACCTGATTGATACGTGCTTCTGATTGCGGGGATTGGGTACGGAATGTTCCTAATTCAACGGCCCCATAGGACTCCTTGATAGCCGGCGTACTGATCTCTATTGCGGTATCACACAAATCGAGCAGTAACTCCACAATCCGTACCAACGGCCGACGTGCGGGGAATGAGCGAGAACGTCCCAATCCCCCAGCGGAGGAGTCGCGAGGCCTCGAAGGCGGTGTTCCCGGAGAAGCGGTACCAGAGGATGGGGTTGACGGCGAAGGGCCTATCGGCAGCCCCCGGTATTCTATTGGCGAAGGCGCAACGCTAATCTCACCGGAGACTGGTCGAGAAGAACGCCGCTCCATTGCGTCGAGAATCTTGACGATTGCGTGCCTGTGCATGCCCAAGTTCTCCTGACATAATTGAACATCGCTCTCTGCCTTGTGTTCCAACATGCAAAGCTCCGAGTGTTTCTCAAACCACCAAGGCTGGATTTGTCGCTCACAAATCCTGCAAAGCACGGGCATTGGCGGAGGATTATTGGCTGGGTCTACGGCGCCCTGTTCTGCCAAACTAGTCAGGTAACGAGCCAGCATCCCAGCTCCAACACCAAGCGACTCGACAAGAACTGGGGGGAGGTCGATAGTGATTTCGTTAGGTTCTACAAAGGGTCTAATCACCCACATTGTCTAAAGGGAGTCAATGATAGGGCTCAAACATCCAGATTCTGTTGTGGGGTACTCACATGACTAGCTTCACCAGATGTTTTGTCGTAGATCAAAATACCTTGACCCTCCAAGGTCAATATATCCTCTTCCTCCCTTACCCCGTCCATTGGGAATGCCTCTTCCTCGGATGCCAAAGCTACAACCGCAGCGGGATCTCTAGCCAATTTGGACTTGGGTCCCACAAGCACCGAAAAGCGAACCTTAAAGCTCCTAGAGTCATCATTTTGCATAGTTTCAACGGCATTCCTGAACACATCTCTGTCGCCTAGAAGGATATCGGCAATGGGCCTGTCTTGAACCGATTCACGGGTGGTCCTGAGCCCCGTGTTAGCAATTGGACATCATAAACACCCCCGATGGCTGCAATTTTGAACTTACCCGATAACATCTTCCCATGAGGGACTGACCCATCGCACATTGCCGTCCAAATTCAGATCCAGAATAACATTGAAGCTGTCTTCCGCTGCCTCCTTCAAATCCTCTTTCTCAGCCTTAATAGCCATGCTGGGTGTTCTCTCCATAGGTCTTCGCATGGATAAGTCATTGTTTGCCGGGGGAGCGAGGGTTGCATGTCCAGTCTGGGCCACACGGGGCCCTGTTTCGGATGCCATTTTCTGCTTTGAAAAAAAAAAAGAAGTTCACCAAGGGTAGCCTGAAAGGTTGGGGGAGCTCAGGTCTCGGGCCTCGTGGTTTTTGTTTGCGTTGGAGGGGGAGGGGGTATCTCTGCTCTTTTTTTTTTTTGCCGCTTCGAAAAATTTAACGTGGTCTCTCTCCCGAGTTTCTCGAATTCCGACGCCACGATGGTTTGTCGGATCCGAGAGATCGATATTATCCTTGGTTTGTTGTAGGGTCCGGGCTAGGACGAGTATTGCAAAACGGCCATTGCTGCAAGAGTAATAACCTTGGGAAAATAAATAAATAAATAACAAGCCCTCGACGTTGTTTGGCAGTAGGATCAGAGGTCGGGTCACCGCCGATGTCAAAAACGCGGGGGGTGGAGGAAGGAAGAGAGGGAGAGAGGGTAGTGTTGTGTGGAGCGACGAGCGGTGTCACGAAAGCGTGTGTATGGCAGTATGGCAGTACCGGTATGGCAGTCTATGGATGTATGTATGTAAACTATGTATGTATGCCGGCCGCCTATTGTGTGTACCGGTAGTATGGTGGATAGGTGGGGGGCAGGAAGGCAGGGAAACCGGGCGGAGTGCACACTGGAGTAATACCGGTAGCAAAGGAGAAGAAGAAAAAGAAAAAAAAAGGGTGTGGTCGGCCGCAAAAGATTACAGTGGTGCTATGTAAAGGTGATAATTCGGTGAGACTGCAGTTTTCATTGAATGGTGGTGATCTGCCGGATTTTGCTGTAGCCAGAAGTCTGGCTGGCTCAGCCGAAGGAAGGGAGCAAGAAATTTTTTTTACTGGTGGAGAATCCGGCAAGGGATAGGGCCCGAATATTGACAAATTTTTGGCGGGGAGAGCAGAATGCAAACACGGAGGAGGGATGGAGGAACTTGAGGAATGAAAGAAACGAGTGAGAAGGTGGAAATGTATTGGTAACCGGTATTTGGATGGAGGGAGGGGTGGCAGCACTGGGAGGAGAGAGCGCGCGAGAAAGAAAGGATTCGCTGGATCGTGGGACCATAGAAAGAAAGAGAGAAGACAAGATGCAGCCTCTCTACTCCCTCTCTACTCCCTCTCTCCGCGGCAAAGGTGGAAGAAGGGGAAGGTAACAAAATATAATTATGATAGTACGGTATTATTATCCAAGGAAGCGTTATTAGCCCGTGTAATTCCCAGCGCTTTTTTCCTTCACCCTTTTCACACGGGCACGGTGCAATCGATACCGTGGACCACTGTACTCACATCCCCAAGGGAGTTCTCGCACCGTGCAGCCTTCGAACCGTGCCGGCACTGTACAGTGTATCATACCTCGAGGCTCCAGATGGCCCCATCCGCCCTCACATCCCTCTCTGTGTTTGTTTTTATTTGCACGGCTAGAAACGATTCGGATGGCTGGTTGATGGTGATGACAAGGAGCCGTTGCTGGGCGGGCTTCAGGACTGACGACAAGGTCTGTTATCCGTATCGCTACACCTACACCAGCTCCCCGCTACTACCGCTGTGTGGAGTGCCGTATCAGACCCACCCAACCCACATCGGGCAAGAGGAGGCCGCAGAAGAGGCCACGGACTCTGTCCAATTGATCCGCCAATCATGCTCACCCCTGGTGTCAGTGCAAATTGTATCGCATGGTAAATTCCATATTCAAGACCGAGATTGTTGATTGTGTAGATCGTCCCGACAAGCTCCACTTGAGTATCCTCCTGGTCTGATTTGTGTGCTATTTAGCCCGCTGGAGCATTCTGGAACAGGACTTCACTGTTTATGGCAGAAAGACGGGTTCAGAGGGGAGGGGTTTGTACTCGAGTGGGCTGGGCCTGCAGTTTGCGGTTGCAGGACAGGAACCCATCGACGAGTTCGTTGCCAGTTCAACCAATCAGCTTCCATTTCGGAACCCCCCCAAAAAAAACAAAAAATCCATATTTTGGATAGATTAATGGATGACCCTCCCCATTGCTCATGCAACTCGAAAAATTTCCCCTCTTTAGAAATACTAACTACAAAAGCAATACTGCCTTTATTGACCTACCTTTGATTCTTATGCTCCAATAATATCATCATCATGGCTCCGCCATGCCACCATAAGCTTGCATATATTATATTTATTATTATTGTTATTTCCGTTTTACCTCTTTTTACCTCCCCTCCTGGTCCAGACTTAAATCCTTGGGGCTGTTGCCGGTATTGTGATATTTGCTTTTCTTCCGGTCTCAATGTTTTGTGTGGTCCTTCTCGCCCACCCGCGTAGCTTTCCATAAAAAGACACTTGGAATGGATCACGTTCGTCCGTCTGATTGGAACCAGATTTTAGGGTGAACCTAACGCTCGCATTGTAGGGCCGGTACTTTGGCGCCGGCAAAAATGTGTGACAATATGATGGTACGCTTCTCGTTTCTCACCCACTCACAGCTCCATGTTCCCTTATCCTATGGTCATGTGGGTTTCACCCATTGTTTTTCTGTTTTGTTTTTTTCCGACTCTGCTTCCTCTACCGGTGTCATACCGGTAAATGATGCTTACCGTATGGTACGAGTGCTCGTAGCGTGCCGGATTGGTTCATTGCCACATCGCCGCCACCTACCCAAATCATGCTATCGCTCCCATCTTGTTGGTCATTGCGCTTCGGCTATCGGAGCTCGAGCCAAGGATGATTGTCAAGATTCAGTGCTTTAGCCTCCAAGAAACGTTCCTTCCTTCGTTGTCGTGGGCCACCACTGTCATTGATGAACATGGAGGTCTGTGTGAGTGGAGGACAGCCACGCCGTCCGAGGTCTAAAGCTTCTTTAAGTGATGTGCAAGCACCCCTTCCTTGAGCTCCCGATACCGGTGCCAAGTAGCTGGAATGGCGGAAGCGCTGTTCACTCCGGAGGAACACATGGGCACCACGAGTGGTTCAATTACGAAATAGGTTCAAAACGGCCTGATCCTCACCAAACGGACAAAGGATCTTGAACCCTCCTTCCCTTCGCATTATCGTAGGCTCACCACTCGAGTACCGGTACTCTTACACACCACTACTCGCGTGAGCGCACGCACTCGTTGTGGAGCATTCCACTTGCACGCATACACGAGACGAACTAACGCTAGATGAACTCTCCGCGGCCACGACACCTTCAGAATACAGTAGCCCAACCTTCAAAGTTTGTGCTCATTCTCGCATGCCAATCCGCTCGCTGGAAGAATGAAGAGACGTGTGCAGCTGAATAATTTCATAGCCATCACAAATGCCGGTATGCCCAGCTATCTTGGGCCCCAACTTATCAGAGGCTCGCATCGCCTCCAGGGGTGGGAGGAAAAAGTAAATCGAAAACCATCCTGGCTGCACACCACTATGATACTGTAACTTGCTTCACTCATTTTTATCGCGTCCAAAAGGAATGTGTACGAGTACGGTATTGAGCTCGATACTCGATCAAGCAGCGTTTAGATTTGGCCGGACTGGGTGCTGCGGTGTGCCGCTTTTGAAATTCTGCGAGAAATCGATCGGAAGGTCTGAGTTCCATGACCCGGACGCCGCTCGGGTGGGTGGAGTTAGGTATCGGCCGGGGAGCTTGCCTCTCCCTTTCTCTCTCCGCGTGCCCTACTATCAGGGATCTAAATCCTTGGTGAAACATCAGGGACGAGGGATGGCTCAGCTCTCCTGTGGAAACAAATTTTAGTTGCAGTACGGTACTGCACTGCTACACAAGTTTAGTCTTATCATTGCATGAGGCAAACATTGATAATTGCGTTCCGGTACCTTTATAAGTACCTCAGTCTCAGGGCCGGCCCATATTGATTTAATAGATTGGCGGATAAAAATTTGCCGCATCAGGCAGCAAGGACAAGGCCCGTACGTAGGCTATGTCTGTCGGAAATGAGCATCAATCATACGCCGGTGTGAGTGAAGCCCGTTGACTCTTGAGAACAATAGACGGGCTGCTATTTCTTTCCCCTGCACCGGTATGGCCTCGTTGCTCTCTTGTCTTTGGCTCATGTTCTCCGTTGCTGGCCCGGTAAACCCACGAGAAAACTGGGACGATACTGTACCGTAGGGTACGGCGCCATTTGTGCTGTGAGCGAACGGTAAGTTATCGTAGACGGTTGGTCCCCCTTTGGTGGGGTCTGAGCAGCACGGAAGAGGAGGACGGATCTCGTGATCAACGATAACCTCAGGAGCTCTTGCATCCCTACTTGGGTACCGACATTTCCATGGGCGGGGCGGAGACACGGACATCCTCAGGGTCAGATCCACACACTGATCTTTTTCGATTTTTTTTTCTCGCGATCTCTTGGTACCTGGGCTGAAAACCCTAAACTGCCCCGGTCTCAACCTAAATACTAGTCCTCTGATATCAGACCATGATAAAAAGCCTCTTAGCTACGGTAAGGGCAAAAGGGGTGTGGAGGCGTTTGATTTATCGTATCGGTGGTCGTGGAATGCCGTCGTACCAACATTGTGCCCATGGTTGATTCTACCTATTCACCTCAACCACCAAAAAATTAGCGTCGCTTCCAAAAACAACAGGATGCTTCTCCAAACATGCACATCACGTTCAGATCCCGGCAGAGGGAACGAGAAGCAGTAGCTAACCCGGAGCTTTAAGCAGGCTTGGGAACCGGTAGAGCGTCATGCTCGCCGATCCTTCATTTAGGCCTTAAATATGGCTGTTTGATATCGTCATCCCTTGACCTGTTTTCAGGTAATGGTTTTGTTGCACCACCAAACTCCAAAGGGCATAAACGGTGGCTTATCATCGGCTAGGCTTGTTGATTGGCTAGGTTAGTATTTTGTTCGTGAGACTACGAGTACGAGTATCATACAAGTATTCCTTTGATGGGTGATGTTTGAACTAATCGGGGTAATAGTCCTGCCCATCACAGCGCTAAAAGTGAGTGAAATTCGGTACTGGAGTACAAGTACTCATAGAGACGAAGGGATTGGGAACGACGGCGGAAGATATGACCTTTACCGCGCGACCTACCCATGTGTACAGTACAGGAGCCTGGAAGCCCTCTCTATCATAGCCTTTCTCTTTTGCAACCAGAAAGTGATCGGCACCCAATGGCCCTTGCTTCATAGAATTTAGCTGAAGCATTGATCGGCTCTGGAGCTCGTTTAGACGGAGCTGCAGCTTCGTACCGTAGCGTCCCTTCCGCTGCAAAGGCCATCATTCCCCTGTCTCCCTTCTCCATCACCACCATCATCACAGTCCAAGATCTCAAAAATATTAGGGTGTGGTCGAATCGAAACAAGGCCGGGCTTGCCTTTTCCTCGAGTACTCGAGTACCGTGCTCGTGTATTTTACCCCGCAATATCGGCTCCCCAAGGACGCCACAACACTACCTGTCCATCAGACCGATGCTATCTTTTGCTCACACCTTCTTTTTTACTTTCCACTGACATGTGCGTGAAGCAGGAGGAGGGCCGTCCAATATTCTGATAGGACGATTTTTTCTTATTTTCAGCCATCTCCACACACACACACCTTTCTTCCCTCTTATCGATTAGTTATGAAACTTTGAAGCCATGATACTTGTACAAGTACACCGTACCATGTCCAAAGGCTCCTGCAGCAGCCATCTTTTTTCTTTTTTTTCTTTAACCCCTTCCTTTCCCCAGTCCAGTCAAGTCCTCAGACGTCAGATGGATGTGGTAAAACCCGGCTAGGAGTCGATCCTCGAGCTTCTGATGTTCTGATACTATTCTAGACATCTGCTTTAGTGATGGGCTCGTCCACCCATCCATGCATGCCTCGTCAGGACAATACGAGCACGGTACTGTAGGATGCTGCGCGATACTGTAATCCTCGTACTCTACAGTACACCGCCTTCCATTCTTCGCCTTCTGCCCTTTCTTGCACAAACATGCCAAAAAGGCACCGTTAAATAAAAAACTCGGTCATTCAACCGAATCACAACCGAATCCGCCCCGATAACGACGACTCTCACAACCGCCAATCTTGCACGTTATCGTACGTTGCGGCTACCGCCTTCCTTTCATAGAAAAGAAACCAAGTACCGTCCCTACGGTAGTCGCTTTCACCTGCGAAGTATCCATTCTTATGGCTACAATGCTCATGGTCCACACACCCATCCTCACTCCACTCACCGTACCATTTCCCCCAATATGTCCCGTAAGGCGCGAGATTGAACTGATATCTATCATGCGTGTACAGTATAAGTGCATGTATGTGCTCGGGTATATACACAATATATATATATATATATCGATAGAGAGGCCTTTATCTGAATTATCTCCCTCTCGGCCCCCAAGGGAAAACTAATAACTAAAACTAAAACAAAAACGAAAAGCAATACACAATAAGCAATAAGCAATAGGCAGAAGCAAAAAAAACTGAGGCACAAACTCACGCAACCAAGGATTGTGTGGGGAGGAAGGGGGAGGAAGGGGCTTTTGCCTAAATCCACGGTGAAACAGAAGAGAAGGTGAAATCGGGGAACTCGAAAGAAGGAAAGAAGGGGAAAAAGAAAAACGATAGTGGAACCCCAGTATTTCCCCGTTCGATGCCGCAGAGATAGAATCATCTGAGAGAGGTAAGTCAACCACGGCACTGAAGGAGTCAGATAGAAGGTGGTGGACTGCTGGTACGATGAAGATTCCCTAGGCGTTGGCAGGGATGGGCATCGATAAGGAAAGGCGAGCGCCAAACCAGGCCGAAGGCAAAAACTGAGCCCCGGAAATTTCCTCGATGATACCACGCAGTGCGGTGTAACTTAGGGCCTGTTTGGATGTCCGGTGATTGAAATCCATGAGATTGGGGATCCATGGATTGAAGAACAGAAATCAAGAGATTGGAATTTATTTTAGTGGTGCCAAGTTAAAAAATATTGTTGGTGGAAATCCTATGTACAAGGGCAGGCTTAAAGTGGGATGTGTTGCATGAAACTGAAGACTTAAACACTGGTGAAAGGAATGATGTTGCACTGGCTTTGGTGCAATCTCTGGAATTTTTACCTCTGGAGGTAATACTTGAATCTCAGAGATTATGGGGATGTGACAGGGATTACAATCTCTGAGAAGTGGACAACCAAACATGCCAAATATTGAGATTCTCAGAGATTGCCAAGAAACTCAGTATTGTGTTGCAACCGCCAAGAATCTCTGTAATATCATGGACATCCAAACAGGCCCTATCAGAATTAATACCATATTGTAACAGGCGATTCCCCAATGTCCTCACTCGCCGTAGCAAAAAGGTGTGAAAAGCTCATTCCTCGCACAAGTGCTCGAGTACAGTACAGTTCCCGTCGAGCACACTTGTGAAACCGATCCGAACTGAGAAAAGAAGGAGAGGGAGAAAGCAAAGTACTGTATGCACAAGTATTGCATGTGCAAATTTACCCTTCCGATATGATACCAAGTACCGTACCGTCCTCGAGTATCGCGGTCTACGAGTTATATGCGCGGCATATTCCCAATGCAGTGTACTGTAGCACACTGCACTGTATGATACTGCTGTTATGCTGTACGAGTGCTGGTACTTGTACTTTGTGTTACTCGAGTACCGTACGGTAATTTCGAGCTTGTGGTTTGTGAAACTCGCCACCGGGGGGGTTTTTTTTAATACCTTCTCATTCCCTACACCCGTCGTCATTTGGTGGCCAATTGAGTTTTGAGCGGGTTTGCGATGGTGATCCTCATGTTGTGCTTTCTTTCTTTCTTGCGGTGTGCCCATTTGTGCTATGATATGTGTACTCTGCTGCTGTGCCCTGCTTTCGCGCATTGGTGGTGGGTGTGATATAATACCGTATGATGCGGTACCGGTAGTACTTGAGCGGTGTGCGGGTCGGGTCTGTACGAGTACCATAATGAGGATGGTGGAATAGATTGGTACCGTTAGGTCGAGTTTTTCTTCTTCTATTATAGTATGACGCCGTTGTGTACTGTACACATATACAGTAGTATGTGCCAAAGGGCTTACTACATTCAATTGGCAGTCGTGGTTCTGAGAATTGGTAAGGTAAATGATACGGTAATGGAAGCGATGGATAGGAATTCGAATGGGAGGTTGGTCCAATTATGATCGGCGTTGTAGATTTCAACTTTAATGAGACCACAAACACAACACAATATCGGCAGCGGGTATGATATGGCTTATGGATGCTATGGCATTCTCGTTCTTGTAAGAGGACCGGTACTATCAGAGTATTATCATGACCTGCCCTGTGGAGTACCAGGTTGGGGAAAAAATTGGTCGGAAGACCAATGACCCGACCAATCCTTGGTGCACAATCTCAGGGAATAAACAATCAGGATTCAAGTTTGATGTGGGGAAAAAAAGTGGTCAGAAGGTGGATGATTTTCTTATTCTAGTATGCAGTACTACGGACTTGGAAATTAGTAGAGAGTATATGCTAGAGTGAAAGATAGATACAGCCCACAACCAATCAGATGTGGAATATAAATATTGAGGTATCATACCTCTCAAGCTTTAAGATATTATCAGCAAATGGAGAGGAGGACTTGTCAATATATTAATGCTTTGAATTTTCATGTTATAGTCTAATAATTGTATTATATATACAGAACTTATATCTTTAACTAATTAAAGGACTTAATAAAAAACTAATATTCTAGAACTGTTCAGTATGTTCAAGTTGCAAATATCATGATATTTTTACTTTTATAATATTTTTTTAGTGATAAATATATATCTAAATAGGATTGTGCTCAACAAGGACAGGTATTGTAATATTATTTTTTTAAAAAAAAATATTGCAATACTTCTAAATCATATTATTTTTAAAGAAATTCTTATAGATATAGGATAAATAAAGAAAGATAAATTCTATATAGTTTATTTTTTTACTATTTAAAATAAAAAATAGTATTTAAAATCTTCTCTTCTGCTTATGTTTTATATTAACTTCTATTCTTTCTGTATGTCTATTTTTTTCTTACTTAATAGTATAGTTGTATATAATTATCATACTTGTATTTTCTGTATTTATGTTTATGATCTACCTTGGCCTTTTGTATCATCAGATCTAAATTCAATTAAAGGAATCTAACATCAAATAAGGCTGTATAAGTTAAATCTGATTATTAGGCTTTTTTGAAAGGTGCAGGAAAATATATTGTATATTTACAAAATTTTTAGTTTTTTGGACATAAAACATGCTACAGAGGTCATCTGAAGTTCTAAAATATTTTCTGAGCTACTATATACCTACTTTACATAACTAGCTAAGTAGTTAAGCAAAAATAAATGTTTTGTAGTTGAGGCCCGATAATCAGGTTTTAACTTATACAGGTTCAAATAAAAGAAGTAATTTTTTTCTATCAAACCTATCACAATCAATAGAAATAACTGATAATATGATTTAGTTTATTTGATCTCAAATTGAGGCTTCTAAGATTTAAAAAATTCTTAATTTAATGCCTCAATGTGTTCAGGCTGTTCTTGCTACTCATGGTAACTATACCTATTTTTAGGTTTTTACTTTGTAATTTTTCTACCAGTCTTCTCTTGTTTCTTGTTTCAGTTTTCTTTTTCTATTTAATTTTCTAGTTACTCACTCCTATTTTAATTTTAGTTTTTAATATTAGTTTCTTGGTTTTAAATTATGTATTTACTCGTTTTTACTTTTGAGATTAGTCTTTGATTTTTTAAACTTTTCTTTTTATATTGTGTCTGATTTTTGAGGTTTTATAAAACTCTGTAAAACCAAATCCAGTATTTGTTACTAACCTCCAGACCTTTGTCTCTACTCTGTAGTGTGGTGGGGTTGGATGATAGTAAATTAACTTGAACCATTTCTATACATGCTAAGTTTACTTAAAACAGCAAAGTACTACTACTTTACAGACTTGTAGTACTTACAGTTGGCGCAGAGAAGGCTTCAAATTACTCCTGTGGTATTATACAGATAAAGTAACATTAATTCCAAAATATGGGAAAAGGAACACTTGCTTTTGATGAGCTACACACAATTAAAAAAAGAGAGGGTTTTGACCAATTTTGGTGGGAAATAGGTGAAATCACCAAGACTTTTTGTCTAGTCGCTTTAGTAACTCTCGGTATGATACAAGTAGCATGCAGGAATGATACCATCCTCCCCTCCCTCCCCGGACTCATAACCCCAAGCAATTGCCGGTATCATACTGTACTGTACCATACCATGCAGTACTTGTACCATACCAGCCCTGCAGGGCACAAAACACCATATAAACTTACGATGTCATGCAATATCACACAATACATCCACTGTCGTCACCCTTTTCCCCACCTTCGCATGCGCATCACAAGTAAAAGTTAGGTAATTGAACGTTCCATCATCATACGGACCCTTCCCTACCTCCCTCCCTTCACCTGCGAGGTATGATACAGGTATGACACTGAGTAAAACAAAGCCGCAACCCACACGGGCCACACCCGAGCCGAGTGACAAAAAACGACCCCATCCGACCATTCCACACCTCTCACCTCACAACTCACCGCCAAGCTACGCCACCCCATCAACCGCCTGCCTGCCACAACCTCCTTCTCCCCCCCCCCCCCATAGCATTGAGAAGAAGAAGCGAAATGAAATTCCTGAAACCCCCCGCCTGGTCCGTACGTGCCCTCCTTCCAGACTTCGCCTCCACCCCTACAACGGCCACGGAGGGAACCGTGCCACGGGCCACCATCGCTCACCTGCACCGCCTTTCGGCATTACCCATGGGTGCTAATGATGAGGCGGACTTGCGCGATCACTTACACTTCGTGCGGGCTCTTGCGGCGGTGGATACGGAGGGGGTGGAACCGCTGAGGGGGATACGGGATGAGGTTGGCGGTGGGGAGGGAGTTATTTGTTTGAAGGATTTGCAGGCGGGAGGGGATGGAGGGGGTAAGGGGGAGGTGAAGTGGAATGCTATGCAGTTGGCAACGAGGAAGGAGGGGGGTTTCTTCGTTGTCGATGGCACGAGAGAGGGGGCTTGAGTATGGTGAGTAAGACCATGTTTTTGTTTTTTTCATATCAGCTTGTCGTTCTTTGGTCACTTGTTTCGTGCGATGTATGCGTGTTTGACTTTCCCACGATCCCGCTCCCCCCACTAGCTAACGCCGTTTTATGAAGAAATGAAAGGAAAAAAACTAGGAAACTAAGATAAAACAATGTGTTGAGCTACTATAAACGACGATTCCTCCTGGCGGAAAGGGGTGCTCCATTAAGACAGAAAAGAAAAAGGGAAATGGTAATGGTAATGGGCTGCTCATTCGAATATAGGGTTTTCGGGTAGTCCTACGCAAAGATCAGCTCCAAAGTTCATGAGGTTAAACCGGGTACCCACCGAGAAAATTGTTCCACTTGTTTTGGCAACTCCACGGATTGTGGTCGAAGCTCTCCTTGCGGTCAAAAGGGCAAATGCATCTTGCAGTATCATGACTTTCGTCATCTAACGGACATCGACCCCTAAATGTTTGGCCGTTAGATCCGCTGTGTGAATTGTAAGAGGAAGGGGGAGGGGTCTGAAGCAAGGGAGTAGTACCATGGAACGTGTTCGTAGCCGACGTCTCCGAAAAAGTGTACCTGATCCCTAGGAAGGAACAGAGCAGCGGCTATAGAGTGAACAGGTGCATCGCCCCATCTTTCATAGTAGAAACCCCCTTTTTTATCAAGAAATTCAAAGTACTTCTGGTATGCTTCTCCGCGCCAGAAATTGAGGTCCGCAATTTCGAAATTGGACCAGAAATGGCATAGGTTGTAGTCGGTTTCTTGAATTCTGATGGGGTGTTAGTGACACACAGTGATGGTAAGTGGAGGGAGCGGGGAGAGGCCAGGGGGTGTCACCCTTCGTCGGGATCAGTAGCTATGAAGCCCAATGAATTGTTTCTTGCGATATGCTCCGGATGTAGCTTGGCGAAGTCCTGAGTTGTCTTCCACAGCGTTTCAACTGTCGGCAGATACTCCGGTAACGCAATCACAAATGAATACCTCTTCTCATTTTCGCGCATAAAGGTGAACGGATCATAGGTCATATCGCAGTAGAACCCGATGCTTGGTTCCACACGCCAATACCTGCGGACACCCGTCCGTAAGCAAGAGGTGGGTTAGGAAGCCATATACCGGCCGGTGCGAGCATAGACCCACGTGCGTCGGAATGTAACTCACCAGTCGTATTTAGCTAGGAGCTTGTCTCTGAAGAAAAAGCCAGAGTTGTACCGACACATATGTCGATAGGTCCGAGAATCGCCATATATCACACCCTCCTGCGACATTCTTGAAATGACTTCCTGGAACTTATCTTCAGAGATCCAATCCGGCGTGCTCCACTGTTCTCTGGGAATCAACCCATACTCTGTCGTTCCTGACGCCATCCGAGTGGTATGAGTTTTAAATTCCTCCGTAAAGGGTTCATCGTTAAGGAAGGTCCAAGGGTACTGATAGTGGCGATTGAACCGATCCTCGATCTGTTTCATAGAGCCTAGAGCATCTTTGAGCTCTGAATTTCTGTGCCGAAGAATGATGGGAAGATCAGCTGAATGTGAATAAAATTATTCAACGGAAAATTCGGAGATAGAATACCGAACAAGCATCACCAACGTAGCCTTCTCTTTGCCTATCTGTCTCGTATCCTTGGATGGTTTCGGCTTTGGTGGTCTTCCAACAGGTGCCGGTTTTACATGGGAAGCTGATCCGGGGGCGGAATAGACACCATTGGACTGCCAGTAAATAGTCAGGAGCACACCAAAGACAAACACGAAAGCTACAAGCCTCAAGAGCCTCGCGGTCTGACCTTTCTTTCGCGATCTGAAGCCCGGAAGCCCACTTTGAGCGCTTCGTTGGGATTTGTATTTTTCGAATGGATCATCCGAGCCCCTAGAGCTGCTCCAATAGCTTGCGGAGTTATATGACATCTTCCACCGTCTTTGCGGGTGGGGTGGGGTGATGACAAGCTAGATTATGGGCTCCTCAAGGAATAGGGATCTTGTGGCTCGATGTCAAGGGAGTTTTTCTGAAAGACGAGTAGTAGAATTACGGATCAAGGCAAAGGCAAAGGGGGAATAGGAGGTAGCAATTGATAATATCAGGACTCGTTCAAAAATGTCAGCCTGATTGATGGAGGGATCGTCAGGTCGCGAGAGAGCTGAGGGACCGTGAAGGTTTGGGCTTTTCGTCAGTTCTTGGCAGAGGCTCTGGTTGGCGGGTTCTGGTTGGTCAGAGTCTCAGACTAAGGCACTCGAGTATCGCGGGCCGCACCATCATTCTCGGCATATGCGGTCAACCAGGAATTGAAGCAAGACCGCCCCGAGCCTACGGCACCGGCGTCATATAAAAATATGCCGGGCTCATTGCAGTGAATAGTGGCCTTCTCTCTGATTGATAGAAGAAGTCCACTTTATGTATGAGCACCAGTAGCCTAGCCTTATTGGCTGTGGGGTTTGCTGCTGGGGGGATAAACCGAACGCCTATCGATAAACAAGTAAGCCACCGGAAGGCCAATTGGAAGGCGAATCTATACTAAAGATAGTAAACCCGCGGGGTAAAAGAGATTGGGCTTATTCCTTATCCCTTCAAACCCTTGCTCTCCACAATCCTGTCTCAAAATCAAGCCAGGCTACGGCGCATGTTCGGGAAAGGGTACCGTATCTGAGGCTTTGCTCTTACTTGGGAACCCTGGGTGCCGATGACAGTCTGCCGTAGCCGGAATCAGGAATAATGCCTTGGTGTTGAGGAAAATTTACCATACACAAACTGCCCGCGTTCGGGGGGACAGTTTGAGGAACGAATCCGAGCATTCCTGCGGTATGCGGGCGAGGCAGCTCCGGGGCTCACATGCTGTGGGGGGACCTGATTACCACCCGCCAACCCTTCGACTGAGTAAGATCCAAGCTACGGTACTCGTACGGGAATCCTCAGCCGTTCGTCAAGTGCCAAACGGAGCACTGGTCTTGATTTTGCAACGGTTCATGTGCCCTTATTGGCGCCTATTATGATACGGCACCTTCACGGCTGACAGGGGAGTTATTTAACTTACATATCTCAACATAATATTATGATGCCGACACCCTCCTCCACCTCCTCCACCTCCTCCCACAACCACCATCATTACTTATCACTCGTCCAATTGGACCAATCGCCCACGGCCAAGTTCAATCAGGCTACGCTATGTACAGTACCCAAGTCCTACTTTACAGTGAGCTCGCTTCGATCTACTCCTCCCACTCCCCCGCCCCCTCCATACTCCCTTCTATTGGGGCTGAGGTGACTTATTCTGTCGTACCCGGCTTAGTTCACACCCCGGTATTCGAGTATTAAAAAAAGAGGGCCCAAATGTATTATTCATACCAAAGTCCATATCATGTCCGGGAACACAACTGCCGATCAATCGAATCAAGTCTCACCGATTTAACCTAGCCAACTCTCTGCCCCGGCATCGAACATTGATCATCAAACGACAAGAATTATGACCACGTTTGTTGCACCGCAATATCAGCATGGGCAGGTTTCGAGAGATTTCCAACTTTTTTCATATTTATTTTTTATCTCCCACCCATTCCCTTTCCTCTCAAGCTTTCTTGGCTGCGTGCGCTCGCAGCTTGTGCTACTGTGTAGTTACTGTACTGTGTGCAAAGTGCGGACGGACACCACGGCAATCCATCCTGCCCATACAGGGAATCTGGGGATGGAGTTGGCGATCGATGGGATTACTTAAATGGAAGCATGAAAAAAAGGAAATACTTGTGCGTGATGTAATATTGCACCCCCCTCTCTTGCTGCTTGGCTCTTTGATAATAATAATAGCTTGGCAACACTAATAATGCTGCACCATGCTTTCTCTAGGAACCCGGGCGTTTTTGCATGCTTGGTACGGTGCAGTATCTTGGACCCGGACAGGTCATTGGATTCCGGGCTCAACTGAGGGTTTCCTGCAGCGCCCAATACTGGGAGAGTCTTGATAACTTATGCACTCTCGCTTTTCTGGGGCGTTGGTACCAGTAGTGTGGGTGCGCTTTCCGGAGTTGCCGTTCTTGATCCGTTTTGTTGGCATCCCCGATCGTCGTTGCAGATAAATTTACGCTTTTGAATCGAGAGAAGATCTAATTGAATGGGTGACGATCAGTGCTTCCAGTCGTTCCAGTCGGACAGCCGTCGACTGCCGTCCGATTGCGCTAGTCCTCACCCCGTCCGGACAACGCCAAGGCCATCCTGGACGGGGTGGACGGCAGTCGACTGCAGTCGACTGAAATTAGCTAGTGCACAAGGTGAAACACACACTAATACTAGAATGCATGCCCACTCAGCCACATGAGGATGACAATAATAACAAGACGGAACCTACAAAGGTACAGCCGGTAAGTTTTATATATTTTACTAGTAGTAGGAGGGGTAATGGTAATGAATTTGGTATAGTGGCTAGGGGTTAGGTGAATGTAAAAGATTTTCACAACTTTGACTTCATCTAACCCTTTTAATTTACCAAGAAGACATATGCTGGTCACTGAATAGAGCATCCTAGAACTTCTCATCTGATGTGGAATCAGAGATGAGACTGCCAGCTCCTGCATTTGATTGAATGAAGGTATGTCCAAATTTAATCAAAAACTATATATTCTGTTTGTCAGATCCAGTATGTATGTACCTTCTCTCCTACTTCAACAGAGTAATCTGGATGCCCTCCTCTTCTTTCTCAAGCCTAAATAAAAGACCCTATAGCATATATTTACTCATCAGTACAGAATAGGTGACTTTTCTCTAACCACCTCAAGTTGCTGAAGAATTAGAGTTAGGTATAGGAAAAAATACTATAAGAGTATTGATTAAGGAAGGATTTCACTTCTACTAGATTCTATAAGTAACTACTAATTAGTAAGCATAATTATATAATTAGGCTTCAATGGACTTATGACTATGTATAATACTATATTCATATAGGAGCAAACTTTTAAAAGAGCAGTAGAACAGCGGTTGCAATGGCTCTAGCAATAGTGAATGAACAGAGATTCATCACAATAGGCCAATCAGAAACCAGCCAGGTAATGGACTGTGAAATGAAACGCCAAGCTTATTTATGGAAAAGGATTGCTAAACTTATAGAAAAAAACTTTCTCTTTCTCTTTTCCCTTACCTCCTTACTATTGCATACTCTACTAACTAATAGCAAACATAGGAGAATATATCTACTATGAGTAACACTGACTTGAACAAACTACAAAGTCTCCCCCCCAGCCTCTAGGTAAGTCCTCCTATCCATCTCCTAAGCGAACACACAAACTAATAAAGGAAAGAGACAAACTTAGGACTTCCCACTCCCATACAGGTACGTCTCCTATATCCTCCAAGCAAACAAGAAAAGCTAATAAAGAAAGAAAGACAAACTTGCTTTCCTACACACTCCTGCACTCTGGTAGTACACACTCTCTTACGCTGCTGCACTCTGAGTCTACTATATGCTATCCACAGTACTTTACTACTGTGCACTTTTCTGTGGTCCTCCACTGTGCACTCCACTGCTATGCTCTCTAGAAGCAGTCTCCTGAAAAACAAAAAACAAAGCAAACTATGCAAGGAGGGAAGAAGGAGGTAGAAAATAGGGAAGGGGAGAGAAAGGGAATAAGGGGGGAGGGAAGAGGGAGGTAGAAAATAGGGAAGGGGAGGGAAAGGAAATAAGGGGGGGGGAAGGAGGAAGGTACCACGTAGGTGTAGGGAGTAGCTTGGACTTCTAATACAAACTTATTCAATGTCTAATACTATGTAACAGGTTCAGACCAATATTGACTATTTGAATAGCATCCTATACTGCTAACACAACAGAATTCTTATTTCTAGACTTTTCAGCTAAGAGGACTAGCATAAACATATTCAGCATAATCTAATACTTCTTTATTCTAAATATTCTCAATTATCTGCTGACAGTAGTCTGGTAGTACTCTAGAGGAGAAGATATTACAAGCTCTTCATACTTACTCCTCAATAGTAGAAGAATAATTCCATGAACAGGATATTGGAAGTTCAAGCTGCTCTCCACATCTGCCTGGTACCTTCTCACTCCTCTCTATTCCCTTATTCTTCCCTCTTCCCTTATTACATGATTTACTTGTTTGTTTTTAGTAGAGCGCATAGTAGTACATGAGAGTAAACCCTCCAGAGCACTAGAGAGTAGATGCCAGAGTATGAGAAGAGCTTGGGAAAGTATGCAGTATAGGAGCACAGAAAGGAGCATGGTAGAAGGAGGCAGGAAAACAGAGCACAGGAGAGTGCAAGAGCCTGGCGAAAAAGGTGAGAGCATGTAAAAGCACATGGAAAAGAAGTATGGAGGAGTATGGCAGAATGGCACATAGAGGGAGCACAAGTTTGTCCTTTTCTTTGTTAGCTTTTTTGTTTTAGTTTACTTCTGTGTGGGAAATGTACCTGTGTAGGAGGGGGGAGGCAACAGTTTGTCTTTTTCCTTCGTTAGTTTGTGTTTGTCTGCAAGTGAATGGGGGACTTACCTGGAGACTGGAGAGACTTGTAGTTTGTGGTTAATATAGTAAACTCCTGTCTCTACTATTAGTTGATATTAGCGAGTAAGATATTATAGAAGCATGATAGTTAGTAAGGGAGTAAGAGTGTAAGAAGAGAAGAGTTTTCACTGGCTGTAAGTTTAGCGATCCTTTCACTCATGTGAGCTTGACATTTTGTTTCCCAGCCAGTCACTCAGCTAGTTATCTGATTGGATCATTGCCATATGATTCCTGTTCATTCCCTGTTGCCTCCGCTATTTTCAATACAGGAGAATAGCATGTAACCCAACCAGCCTGATGCTACTCCTAGCCTCAGAAGCTATAGACTCAGTCCTAGAGGGCTCAGGCACCTGCACTACTAGAATAGAGGATGCTACTAAAGCTAACTATATAATCATATTACTAGCCATACTCTTAAACTATAAAGAAATAGACAAGGAGGAGCCTAGAGCCTGAAAAATGGCCAGGATCATGGGCAGAGACTTACTCTCTACTCTGGGCAACAGTAGGTTGCAGGAAGGGGTAGATACATGGTATCTGAGACAAGAAACCTTCTTCCACAGTATGGAGGCTTTACTAACAGACTCAGGAAGAGTAGTTAAGATCTAAGCAACCCTGCTTGTAGAAAGTGAGGATTCCCAATTAACCCTACTGTTAACCACAAGAGGGAGGAGTGGGGAAGGAGGAGTGCCTTAAAAATTCAATGAAAGGGATGAACTCCTTTCAGGAAAGTAGATTAAAGACAAAGGAAATTTCCTTCAAAATAAAGACTTGAAGCTATCATGAGATAGAATCAAGGAGTGCCTATTGGTCAGATCCTGGTTTGTGACATGTCACAAGAGGGGAACAACGTCTAGGACCGACTGGACGACTGGAAGCACTGGTGACGATCTCCACACATCTCTGCACTTGATTTGGACTCTACATTTGGCACACGACTTGAGTCCACAACACTACCTGTACGCGTACAGTACTCGAGCACAAGGAAAACAGAGATAAAACCCTCACATGACATGCGCAGCTCTAGCGTAAAGCTAGGATTGGACTACCATATCCCCGCGCTGTTGCGCACGGGCTGCCGGTAGTCTATTGTACCGGCGCTTGTGCAAAGAGATAAAAAGAACCATGTAATTTTATTGTGCAGCTTTGTCCCTAGTCGGTTTCCTCCCTACCTCTCCCTGCTCTCCCTCCTCCTCTATCCTTATCCCAGCTCCAACACCCTTCAATATCCGCTCGACCCCAGCGCCAGTCTTCATACTCACCCCATCTCCAAACACCTCCCAGCGCAACGGCACCACCAGCTCCTGCGCGTCCTGTTTCTCTTGCTGTCGAGAGAGTAGCTGCTTCATAGTCTCGCACACCATCCCCTTGATAACCTGCAGTCGCTCCCTCCGCTGATCATCACCACCGAGCAGTAAATCCTGCTTGTTGAGGACGATCCCCAAATAGCGTATGCGGCATTCTCTGCTCCTAGCGTACATTATTGCATAAGCCAGCTCCTCCAAAGATTTCATGGCTTCTGGATCTCCCCTGCTGGAGTCTATGAAGAAGAGCAAAGCAATGGAGGATAGCGGTTTCAAGTGCAAGAATTGAAGGCGGAAGTTGCGGCGGTCGCTGCTGGCTATCTCTGTGAAGTTTATGATTTGGTTGGAGAGGGGAATCTCTTGGACTGTTGGTTTTATTGTGTCTTGTCAATCCGCTGTTACAGTGCGGTCTGGGAGTAGTGCCGGCACCGGCAGTGGGGGTTGGGTTGGGTCAGGTTGGTACCATACCGTCATAGTCTTCCGTAGACTGCGTCTCTTGAAACTTCCCTGTCTTTATCCTGCACAAAAACGTGGACTTTCCGGCTCCGCTGAGGCCCAGGATTAAACAGCGGGACGCTGTTGGTGGTGTTGGTGGTGCTGTTTCTGTTGGCACGGAGGAGTTCGCGCCTACGCAATCGCTCTCACCAGACCCTCTGCAGCAGGAGCACGTGAAGCACTTGTAGAACCTCATATTTGGAGTTGGTTCCTGTAACCGGGAAGTAGGGAATGACCTGGTGGCTCACTAACTGGTCCCAGAGAACGCCCGTGTTGGTGGCGGTGGGTGGACGGGTAGAGAGAGGGTGCTCCGAAATCTTCACGATAGGAGAGTGATATTTGTTTGCCTCATACCCGTGCTTACGAATCCACTCACCTAGTGGGAATAAAATGGTGGGCATTGGCCACTCGAAAGTTTCATCGTTTTGAACCATACAAAATAGCATTGTCGACCGAGCCTCGCTCGAGAGTGCACCTGTATCTATCTACTAAGTATCTGTTGACTACCTCATATGTTAGGTGCCGGTATCATAGTATTTCTCATAGTGTTCGAAAAGTACGGTAAATTACACTAGGAAGGTACTCGTGTCTCCGAGCCAAGAATGGGCACCTGATTGGGAATAGGCCATATGCTCCCAAAAGTAGTAAAGTGTTCATGCTATTTGAAAGACAGTGAGAGTGATGCAAGATGCCAGTAACTGGACAGGGTAATATCAATGTACGATAAAACTACCATGAAAGTTCTCAAAATTTCATAAACAAGACCGGTTCTCATCCAATGTAAGTGCTTTCACTCAATTGCACCAAATTCAGAAATTGATACTATAAACAGTGCTATAACGAAGGGAAAGAGCCTTACCATGGCTACATCTGGTACCATTATTGCTCTCCACAAGTCCAAGCCGGTAGAGGTGGTAACAGGTTCAATGCCTAATAGGGCAGTTCACTACTGGGAGGGAGGGGGGAGGGGAGATTGGTGAATTCACAGTATCTATTTACACTGCTTGGTGGTGTCTTAACTTCTTTTGAAAGCAGCACCAAGACTTTACCATAAATGGATCTGGGGAGGCTATTCCAAAAGAGGTGCCCATTCTTGGCTCGGAGACACGAGTACTGTACAGAATACCGGGAGACGGCACTTGTGGCGTTTGAAATCCTGATATCTGGTAATCTGATTCTCCATCCTATGAGTTTAACATACGAGTAGTCACCCTCGGCCATGAAATCAGGCTTGAGCTCGGAGCTTTTTCATGACGATCGGTTAACGGCACCCTGGTGTGTTTACGGTAAGTCACCGTGCTGTATCGTATCATATCGTATCGAATGGTAACTTCCCGTAAAACATACCGCTCGTATAATACCCCACTCTTTCTCACGAGTGATGGTGCATGTTTACTCCGCCAGAAAGAACCCAACTCTCTCTGTAATCTGTGATAACCCTTAGTATGTAAGGACTAGGATAGGTTTCCTTATCATACATCGCTAATGCCCCCTCAGCTACTGAATATAAGCATGGAAACATCGACTTGCAACAAAGGTCATGAGAACCAGCATAAAATCCCATCCAAATACTATATACCATGCCGTACTCAGGGTACGGACAGAGTTAGTATGGCAGTATATATCTGCCATCCCCCCATCCGGTAGTAAAAGAAAAGAAAAAAAACACAGGTATGATATCATACCCCAGAGGCCGGACCAAAATTCTATTACGAAATCAACCGACCCCCGGCCGCCGTGCCCATAACAAAATCTCTCGGAAAGCATGATACATGAAAACCTCGAGTCCAAACCCGAAAGTATCCCCAAATTACCGATGAGATATAAGTCGAGTCATTTTCCTTTGTTTATCCCGTGTGGGCAGTCTCACGCACTTCACGGCTTACTGTACTAGACTATGTGATGATCTAGTTCCACCATGTTGTTATTTATTCACAGGGGATTTCAGAACCCCTTAGACTCTCAAATAAGTTGTCGTGTCATAGCTCCGCGGTGGACTGCAGGTTGTTGCACGAGATATCACTCGTATTAGCTTTCTGTTGTCACCGATTAAATTGCTCCGTATGTCGTGCAAAAAAAAACCGAGACACGATGTCGACCTGGTCTTCGATATCTTAGTTGATCCGAGTTATCTGACTATCGTGTTGGGGGATTTTATTTTTATTTTTACGTGGGCGCTATGTTTGAACGTGTCTGATGGGGTTAGGTATGTACGGTAGAGAGTATCCCCGGGAGAGTGTATATCGTAACTCGACTTTGAGAGCGACAAAGTCTGGGAGTGTGTACTGTAGGAGGGTTCTTGGAGAACTACAGAGTGTGTAGGCAATCTCTCCCTGAGGACTGGCTTTCCATGAGACACGCTGTATGGCAAGGGGAGAACTCCTTCCAGAACATTTCACAGGTTCCTATCGGGAGCCTCAACCGCCAAGATGTTGAAATGGTTTATCTAATCTCTCCATCATGGGTAAGGGGCTAGCCCAGTCGGTGCTCGGGCAGCTCAAAGCCTACCTCTTCGACTGCCCTCTCCGATCCCATCCCGCTAAATTTTCACTTCACTTCATGTATCAGTATCATACCTTCTCTTTTCCTCTTCCTCCCTCTAGCGGCCAGTCTCCAACATAACTTAGGAGCTTCCATCACCAACAGTGCTTTTCCTCTTTCGCTTCCTTTCTATTCCCCCCTATCTCGTTGTTGTCGAAACATCGGCGTCCCCTCATAAGTGCATATCCGGCCATTTTTCCGGTGTGCCCCGCCTTTGACTCGCTTGCCGTAGCGGTTGCAACTCTCGCCCGACCGTTGTCCAAATTAGTCACTATGTCGAACACTTGTCCTTCCTGTGGGAGTTCGAACCCCACCGATTTCGATGATTCCACCGGGAGACTTGTCTGCACGAATTGTGGCCATGTCGTTAATGACTCTTTTATCGTTTCCGAAATTTCGTTCGGGGAGACCAGCAGTGGCGCTGCTAGAGTCCAGGGGAGTTATGTCGCCGAAGGGCAGACTCATGCTGGTGGGGGTGGGGGGAGGTTTAGGAGCGGGAATAGTCTTGAGAGTCGGGAACAGATAATTCAAAATGGTGAGTTTCCCTTATTTTTATTGCGCTTCTTCGCTGCTTTGCCCCTAATCCGGTGGGAATCTCTAGGACGTCGCAAGATTGTTCAACTCGCCGGCGCTGTCAATTGCCCTGAACATTTTGCAGATCACGCCCAACGATGGTTCACCCTATCCGTCACGCACAACTTCAACAGAGGCCGCAAGACACAATTTGTCGTCGCCTGCTGTCTATACATTGTCTGCCGCCTCGAGAAGAGTTCCCACATGCTTATTGACTTCTCGGACATACTCAATGCAAGCTTTCTGCTCGAAAATTGAGGGACTTTTTTTAAATTTTTAGCTGACAGCGCTCCAGGTCAATGTCTTCTCACTCGGCCACACCTACCTTCAACTCGTTCAAGTCCTCGAAGTCCGATTGCCACACATAGACCCTACAGTCTACGTCTACCGTTTCGCAAAGCACCTCGACTTCGGCAGTGAACAGACCAAGGTTGCTAACGATGCCCTCCGTATCATCCAACGCATGTCCCGCGATTGGATGGTGCAAGGCCGTCGACCATCAGGTATTTGCGGCGCTGCATTGATCCTCGCAGCCCGCATGAACAATTTCCGCCGTTCCGTTCGGGAGGTAGTCTACGTTGTTAAAGTAGCAGACTTGACTATCCAGAAGCGGCTGGACGAATTCAAAGATACTAGGAGTGGGGATTTGACCGTCGAAGAGTTTAGAAATATATGGTTGGAGCAAGCGCACGACCCACCCAGCTACGGACCGAAAGCCGCGAAGAAACGCAAGAGGGTCAGGAACGTTAATGACGATGGAGAAGTCATTGAGGATCCCCAGGATACCATCATTGTCACCGCTCCCGACGCCCCAGGCGCCACTCCCAGCACTCCTCCTAGTGCCGCCGCTCCCGGCGCTGCCGCGGCACCGGCTATGCTTCTCGATAGGCCCCTCAGACTGGACCCAGATGGATTCGTAATCCCGGAACTCCCCATCCCTTCACCACTCGCGGTCTCTTCACTCCCCGGAACACCAATCGACACTACAGACCCCGCTGCATCGCAAAGCACTGAAAAGGCCCAAGAAGACCAACACTCAGCCATCGCCGAGGAGGTGATCGAGTCAGAGATCGCCTCCCTACTGGATGGCTCCGCCGCGGGAATCATGGAAGAGCTCCGGGAGGCCGACCGCCAAGCACGCGAAGAATGCGCCGCCTCCACCATATCAGACGACCCGGACAACCTCGACGACGTCGACGACGACTTTGAAGTGCAGAACGCCCTACTCACCGAAGAGGAACGCGACCTGAAGGAGAAGATCTGGGTGGAGTTCAATAAGGACTATTTGCGTGAGCAAGAATGTAATATCGCCCCTTTCCTCTAGAAAAAACAAAAAAAAACAAAAAAACATATGAGTGCCATGGAAACGCTGACGCGGATACTACAGTGAAACGTCTAAAGAGGGAAACAGACCTCCGCAACGGAATCATCAAGACTGCCAGAAAGCGCAAGAGGAATAAACCCCGCGATAGCAACAGCGAAGATATGGCCGCTACCCCCGCCGACAGTGCGAAGAATATGCTCATGCGCAGGAGTTATTCCAAGAAGATTAATTATAAAGCTATCGAGGGGCTCTTCGAAGACGATTAAGCAAGAGAGAGGGGTTGTAGATAATTTCTTTCTTCTTTGCCTGTTGGGGTTTCTAATCTGGTCAGTTGGCGCGCATATATCTGGATGGGTGGGTGCATTATAGAGATTGGGCGCTTTCTACGGTTGTTAGCGGGGAGATTGGTGCTTGGTAGTACTGGCGGGGGTGTTTGTGTTCATAGAGGATCACTCGGGGGAGATTTTACTGGAATGTACTTGTACTTTTTAAGTTGCGATTTGGCGTGTATTTAATTTGACACTTATTTCAGGCTGGTGGCTTTTTTCTTCTTCTGCTGGGGCCGCGGGAAATTGGTCAATTAACACCCATTTGCCTTTACTATGGGCCAGTAATACGGTAGATATCCCAAAAGGGAGCCAATTCTTGACGCGGAGACACGATTGGATACTGGATTATGAAACATGTGCTCAGGGTACAAGTATGGAGCATGGTGGGGGGATTAATCGGTGGGAAATTTAGATCAATCTACTGTAGTACTTCTATGAAGGAACTGTCCATGCACAAGGTCCCCGCTATTTCACCGCTACGAGTTCAAGGGGCGCCAAGAGGGCAGTCCCAAGTTCAGTTACCGGCAAGCGCAGCACGCTTCCCAAAGACTCTCAAGCGCTTTACTCCTCCATCAGGAATGATGACCATCTTAACATGAGTGGCCACTTTTCCATGAACGTTTTGAAGGAGGGCGGACGGGAATGTATGTTCCTTATCAGCCTCACAAGGGTGTTTGGGAACAATAAGTTCCCACCCATTGGCATCGCTAGTAACATGTTGCTCGGAGGAATTGATGGCGTAGATTTCAACAGCTTGAGGGTAGTTTCCACGGAAGTGGAGGGTATCAACTACAACCTCTTCAATGTATCCTGGAGCTCCCTTTGCGGCGCAAACCTATTAGCATAACCAAGGGGTTTGTGCTGACGTAAGGGAAAGACATACGAGTTTGACAACAACCCAGTCAACGTGGCCTGGCTCACGGCTACGCTTGGTTTCCCAACCGTTTCCCGCATCCTTACCTCTTCCGGGAAGCAGCAGATTGTCTTTTTTTGTTCCAAAGTGTTGGCCGCTACAGGAGATTGCGAGACCGCCTGATGAGACATGAGCAAGGTCAATGATCGTGTCCGGATTGTCGGGGAAGACGGGAACCGCGGTTCCAAACAAGCGGAAGCGAGCAATTCCTAACAGCGTGTTAGTACTTCCGGGTTTATCGTGGCGGGGTCTATCAAGAGCATACCTCCATCTGGGAACATATTGAGGCGGACGTGAGAATAGGCTTTGGTGGTGGGAGAGCTAAGCTTCCAGATGTGTCTCTGGGAAGGGCCACATTTCTGCATTGGGAGAATCTCTTCCCACTATAAGGAGTTGGGTGTTAGATTGAACTGATTTAGTGGGGTAGTTCACTCACCACCGTAGTAGCATCTGGGTAGCCGCAGTGAAGGAAGGCACCCTCAACGGTGACAGCCGGAGCGTGGTTTCCATTGAAGAAAGCTGTGTCGACCTCGAAACCGTGGACTTTGCCGCTGGAAACTCCGAGCTATTGACGGTTAATAATATTCCTCTCTCATGAAACTTTCTCCATACAGGTACCTACTTTAATGACGACCCAATCGGCAGGGGCCTTGTTGTGCCTTCTCGTCTCCCATCTTGGATTGACAGCACGTTAGGATTATAGAAACTCCAAGAGGGAGGGGAACAAACCCGTCGTACCAAGCACCGGCAGGTACAAACACACCGGGCTTGTGGATTGGAGGGGCCGGGTTGATCAAGTTCTCGGCAGCAGCGAACCATTCGTCACTAAACTCGAGGACCCGGCCACCAAGAGCAGAGCTAATGAGATCTGTGGCATTCCAAGTCAGCATCGAGGCTTTGCAAGAGTCCTGATAGACTTACCGATGCAAGAGGAGGTAAGAGTCTCTTGGGCTTTGGAACCGTCAACACGGGAAACTGTGATGAAGGACATTGGCATTGTTTTTTTTGAAAATTCAGTTGTTGCACGTCTACAGAATGGGAGCGTTGTGAAGATAGTAGCAGAGGGACAGAGGTGTAGACTATGTATGTGGGTCGTAGCGAGGAAAGGGGGGGATGGCGTGAGGACGGGGGGCGGACTACTGTATAAGTAGCAGTCATACATCCCTCCACCTGCAATCCCACGAAAATCGAGGGCATTGATACAGTAAGCCCATAGTCCTGCCTGGAACCGCACGATAGAGATAGACAAAGCCTATCCGGGAAAGCCGTGCAATGCCCGCAACACGCCATGAGGGTAAAACGCGGTGGCGCCCCATAGCTCCCTTTCCTGGAAAAATATGTCGCGAGGAACGCTGGATGGGCCAGCCTCAGTTGAGGGACTAAATGATGCCGGAAAGCTCCCAGATTTAAAGCACCGGTACGCTGCTCCCGCTGGTAAATTCGGGGCAGGAACATTGCCGCTCCCTAAAGGCACTCGGAGGTGATGAAGGTGGATCGGCGTACTCTACGACAAGCTGATTGGGCAACCTCTGGCTAGAGTGAGGAAGAAATTGGGGTGATTATCAGCCACAGAGCAACACTGCATCTCACATCCACAGCCGCGGCTAAGAGGTCAATTTTGGGCGTCGAGCTCTGCAGTGGACTTGCTCTTCATGAGGCACAACCAAGCTCAGAGAGTCTTAAATGAAATACTCGAGTACTCGCGAGCAGGGCTCCCCCGTCTCACGGAGCTTACACCAATTGTGGTCGCGTGACATCTATAACCAATCATTCTCAGCTGGGAAACCCGGCTGTGGATTTATTTTTACTCCTTATCCTGTCGGGCAGGATCTCTACTATTTCCCCGGAACTCTTTCAACCGTTGAGAAGCAGAAGGATTTTCCCAGCACTGTAAATTTATCCCTCCGGGTTAGTGTTGGGGGTAAGGTTCGGATGAAGAAAAAAAGAGTTCAGGGATCTGATTGGTCAACGGAGTTTCCCTGCGAATCAATCCCTCCGAGGCTGTGGGGATGCCGGGATAGACCTCAACGGGGCGGGTGAAGGACAGGGGTATCATACCTGACAGGCAGGAGTGAGAGAGAGCTGGAGAGTGCTCGAGCACTGGTATGGCGCACTGATAGTCAGTCTAAGTCAGAGTCTGGCACTGTATCGGCACTCTGCCGGTAGGGTAATGAAAAAAGAAAAGAAAAAAACTGCCCCTTTTACCCATCCCTGTTCCTCGCCGGCCAATAGAGACTTTGCGAAAGGTCTCCGCGTGTGGGTCTGGCAAGGTTCCGGGCCAACGAGATCGCTAGGATTTGACTCTGGATGCGAAATCGCAAATTCTCCCTTTTCGATGATAGTCTATTAGGACACCTCTGCGCCAAGGATCTGTGCTTCTGGCTTTTCCCGGGGACCACTGTGGCATTGATGTGTCTGGGCAACTTGTGGAATTTGCGAGCCCGCAAGCGACTGCGCTCAGCTCCAGGAGCTGGAGTTGCCCGTTACCCGGCTTCGTGGAGAGTTTCGTTCCTTGAGGCCCCACCCTCACCCCCACCATATTCACTCTGGCATGATCCCAATCCTCGTTATCGTCTACCTTCCGCGTCCATGAAAATCTGCAAGACTCGGGTCACACTCACATTCATACCCGGGAATCGTAGTCCATCACATATAAGGCCTTAGAACCAGACGAACTCTATTCAGCGGGATAAGGATGCCCTCGAATCCTTCCAACGGCTTCCAAGCCATTATTCTCTGTGGCCCGGGGACCTCCCTTTATCCCTTTACGGGGGCCGAGGACCTTCCAAAGGCTCTCCTACCCGTGGCGAATAAGCCTATGCTTCACTATCCTATCGAGTGGTGTGATAAGGCTGGCTTTGATTGTAGGTTTTGGCTCCTCCTATTTCTCCCGCTTTCTAATTATCCGTGATAGCCATTTTAATTCTCACCCTAACTGAGCACCAACCCGCAATCCAATCTTATCTCCGTTCTCACCGTGCCCAGAAGTCCTCGGTTGAGATCCGGGTTGAGTCACCCTCGTCGCTGAATGACAATCTCGGCACCGCCGACGTGATCAGGATAGCGCACCAGAAGGGATGGATCCATGGTGACTTTGCCGTATTGCCCTGCGATTTGGTCACCACCATGGATTCTCAGGAGGTTATGGAAATGTGGATGGTTGAGCAGGCAGGCTTCGACTCGGATATGGGGAGACGGCCGAGGCTGAGCAAGAGGGCTGGTGATGCCGATGATGGACGGCGTGGAGGATTGGGCATCTGGTATGAGACAAGAGGCGAGGGTGCAACCAAGGGAATGGGTATGTCTTCTTTATTGAGAGTGGTCCTATTTTTTTGTCCTTTGAGCTATGTTTTCTGGGAATCGCTCACGCTAAAATTCTGCTTCAAGAAACCGATTTCATTGCTGTTATACCACACCCCACGGAGAACCAATCGACCTCCAAATACCGCTCGAAGGGAACTGTTTCTAGCTTGTTATTTAACATACCAACACATATGCTCAGAGGGGACGATGTGTCCCCCGACTTTCCCATCCGCCGTTCTCTCTTGGAGAAGCATCCGAAACTACAGCTCTACACAACCCGCCGTGACAGCGGAATCTATTTTTTCCCCTACTGGGTTCTAAAGTTTATCGAGGACAACCCAAAAATGGCCTCCCTCCGTGAGGATGTAGTGCCTTGGCTGGCCAAGTGCTGTTGGCAAAACCGAAGGCTTGCAGATAAGCTTGGTCTCCTTGACATCCTGGTTGGGAGCGAGGAGGACGATTTGGAGGAGATACCAGTAGATGTCGGAGAACGCTACGACGTTGGCTCAATGAGCACTAACCGGGCACGCAAGCTAGAGAAGCCGGAGAAGGAGTCCAATGTAGAACTTGTATCAGAGACAACCAGAGCTATAAAGGCTCGTATGTTGGCCAAGGCGGAGGTACCAATTCCGGAAATCACAGCATACTTGCCCAGTCAATCAAAATCCTTCATTCGTCGCGTCGACACCACACACCTTTACTTGTTCACCTGCCTTCATTTGGCCAAATCGGATCCACAAACGGTAACCACTCAGATCAAAATTGACCCTTCTGCTTCAATTGATCCCAAAGCCGTTGTTAGCACTTTCGACTGCTTGATCGCGGACAGAGTTTCAGTAGGTGAAAAAGCCAATATTAAGCGTTCGGTTCTTGGTAGTGGAGTGAGTATCGGAAGGGGCGCAAGGTTGGTGGGATGTGTTCTTATGGATGGGGCTTCTGTCGCCGAGGGGGCAAAGCTGGAAGGGTGCACAGTTGGAAGAAAGGCGTTCATCGGTGTAAAGGCAAATCTGAAGGACTGCGAAATTGCAGAGAATTTTGCGGTCGACGAAGGAAGTTAGTGACTAGTGATCATCCCTCTCTCAGAGTCTGCGCACTTGCTAACGCCAAATTACAGCCGAGGCCAAGAACGATAGATTTGTTCTCTTTACCGGGCTGGATGCTGACGCTTCTGACGCCTCTGGCCAAGACTCCGATGGGGACAGCGAGGATAATCACTCTGAAGCCGAATCCGCCGAAAATGATAACGAGGTGGAACCAGAGTCCGAGAATAGAGAGTTTGCGGTGAGGGACCCAGGTGGGAGTTAAGCGAAAATAGACCTAACGTAAATCACCGGTTTCCGGGACAACACCGTGCACCGGGACAGTGTACAACCAATTAAACAAAGAAAACAATTCAATGGTAACTTTGCAAGAAAAAATCATAAAAATATCCTGAAACCAGCAATAGAATGAGGAAACCCAGACCAAGAGTACCTATGAGGAGTTAAAAAAAAAAGAACCTGGATTTTTAAATAAATTAGTTATGGATAAGTATATTGAGATCGATAAGAGGGGGAAACAAATCAAAAAAGAGACATAAGAAAGAAAAAACTAGCACTTTGAGTATAGCTTCATATGGAGAGGGCGGTCTGGCATATGGGTGTGGGTAAAAAGAGGTCTGAAGGGGGTATTGGAGGAGTGGCGGCGGCAGGCAGAGTAGGTGTTTTGGTGAGGTTTCCACAACACATCAGAAACTACCTCAATACCTGATCAGTAATAGGAGTAGTAGGTATTACAGCTTTTTTTGAGGTTAAAGCTATTTGCGTACTATATTCAGGCTTGTTCCAGGAGTCAGGCTATGGGTGTGGAGTGCTTGAGAGTGTAATTGGAGTGATATGTTTTTTTTCTGTTGACATGATTTTTTAGGATGGCAATCAAGTTCTTCTCATGCCTTGCGCAATCCAATGAGCTCTTTTCCAGTAAGCACATGAGCTTTAGAGAGCTGCTTTTGGTCTGCTCAGGTATTGTAGGTCTTTTTCTGCTGTAAGCCATCACATACCTTTTTCTGAATCTCTTTCTCAGCCAATGACAATAATGCAGCATGGCTAAGAGATTTGAGAATTTTCTTAATTTTTGTAACTGAGACACCATTATCGATATAATGGTTTGCAGCCTGTAGTTGGCTGCAGATATCGTGAGAGCTTTTTGGTATAAGGAAAGATAGAGTGCTACTGGTAGAAAGAAGTACAGTCTACTTATCATCTTGTATAGGCTTTAGTCTAGTGTAAATGCGGCGTGGATTGAGCAGTACAATACCTGTTGTAGCAAACACCTGTTCAATATTGTACTTGGTAATTGTTGCGATTCTGGTATCATGCAAAAGAGGAATAAAAACTGACTTCATCAGCAAAAATTTCACTTTGCATCCCGTGCGTCCCGTGCATCTGACGCACGGGACGCCCAAACGCAAACCGTTAATCTAGATGCGACGTCCCGCGGACATTGCGTCCAGATTTGCCTTCCTCTTGCGCAACCCGTCCTGACCCCACCGGACGTGGATGCCGACGTCCCCTGCGTCCGGAGATTCCACGCTCTCTTCTCCTCCCGTCCGGAGATTCTACCCTTCCCTCTCCTTGCGTCAGGAGATTCTCCGCTTTCTTCTCCTTGCGTCCTGACTATCCCTGTGACCCTTTGCTACTTCCTGCTATCGTCTGATTCTGCTCTGTCCCATCTGACTTTGCCCACCCCCTGGCCTTTGACGTCCCAACCCTACCCGTCACTGGCAGCATTAATCCAGATATTTTAAATGACTCCTCTTAACTCTCAACGTGACGACCCAGCGCTCAAAGATCTGGATTATCTCCCGTCCAAACTGGTGGTCTTGATCTCTACTAGTACGCTCTGGAGACTTTTGCGCTGAGGTCCCTTGCGCCCAGATCTTTCAACTTACGTACCGTTTGCGTCCCCTGGCGCTGGTTTCTTGGCCAGATTCTCCCGCTACCAATCAATCATGATCCGGACCTTCGTGGCTCCTGGTTCTCGCTACCCGATATTTCATGTCACAATACATCGTGGATGTTTCCTCCTCATCCATACCTAACAGACTTATTTGCCTAATCTGGTGGGATTCTCTCTAGTTGACCCTGACGCTTTATATACAATATTATGCCATCGCGGTGAAATCCCAACTACGTCCCCGTCCCCTCATGCACACTGGCTCCTACTGTGTCTCCGCGCAGTACCTCTTCCGATCGTGATTGCTCCAATTCTCCTTCATCCATAACCTAGTATCGACCTCACGAATTCTGCCCCCGCCTCTCCTCCGTAATAAGCAACTACAATGGGCCGCCCGGTCCGGTGGGATCCCTTTCAGCCGCTACTCTGTGTTCCTCCGGTGACTACTCAAGACTAAGCAATAGCTGTGAGGCTGGAGGAGGGCTGCTAACAATCTCCGTCGGTCGACATGTGATGTCCTGGAGGGATCCACCGATTGGATCAGAATCAAGCAACGCCAGCACCAGGGCAGCGGACGTCTGACCGAAACTTGCGGTGACATCGGTGTCCTGCGACTCATTTCGTCTGCCCTGCGGCCTCACTGGGACGAGCATGGGTGAATCAGTCACAGTGTCGCTGCGCCAGGGGGGGGGGGAGTGGTTGCGATTCCAGGTTTGACTTCCGGCTCTCTAATTCGGCACTGACCGCGTCCCAGTCGTCATCATAGCCTTCTCGT